CCTGGTGAACGTCGTCTGCAAAGCCCATTCGGACCGGCTGCCCGTGGACGACGTGTGTGTGGAAAACAGTGTCTTACAGATACTTGGACTTCGTAGCTAACACAGCAATGAGGTTTCCGATTGCAGTTTCTGCGTCCACGTCTTGTTTGATATGGTCGCCCCTGTGCCGAAATATTAGATGTAGTCACATGGTTTTGTGTGTTTCTTTGGTAAAATTTTGTTTTATATTTTTACTTTAAATCTTAAGTTATCGGGATATTCCTAATTTAAATATCGAAAGCTTAGTTCTACATATGGTGTGAGTTAGGGCTGTTTTTTCATATTTTACAGACACACAATTATGATGAAGCTATCTATCAAATTTAACATCTTTTACTAAAAAGAAATACCATATTCTTGTCAGTTTCTTATAAATACAGGAAAATACTCCATTCTTTCTTATTTAATTATTCTTTCATCCTCACCTGAGGATATTTTTTTCCATTAATTTTTTAGAGAGAGTAGAAGGGAGGGAGGAGGGGGATATATATATATATATAGAGAGAGAGAGAGAGAGAGAGAGAAATATCGAGGTGAGAGAGACACATCGATTGGTTGCCTCTCACTCGTGCCCGACTGGGGCTGGGATCGAACATGCAACAAGGTACGTGCCCTTGACTGGGAACTGAGCCCGCCACCATTCGGTCCTCGGGCCAACGCGCTAACCGCTGAGTAAAACTGGCCAAGGCTATTTATTTATTTTTTAAAATATGTTTTTATTGATTTCAGAGAGGAAGGGAGGGGGAGAAAGAGAGAGAAACATCAATGATGGGAGAGAACCATTGACTGGCTGCCTCCCACACGCCCCCCACTGGGGACGGAGGGCGGAACTCAGGCCTGTGCCCCGACCAGGAATGGAACCGTGACCCCCTGGTTCATGGGTCGATGACGCTCAACCCCTGAGCCCCACGGGCCAGGCTATTCTTTCTTTTGTTGACTATTTTATTTCTCCCATTACTGTTGGTGCTTTAATTTATCTTGTATATTCAAGATTACATTTCACTGTTGAATAACCATGAAAGGTTAAAACAGATGTAAGGGAATTATATTAAACTGCTTATTAAAAGTATAAAAACTGAGAACTAATCTATTCCCTGTGGCTGCACGACCAAGGGTGATCCCGAGTCGAGGGGTGAAAGAATTAAGGAAAAGACAGACAAGAGAATGAAAGCTGGGTCTCGGTGGGACGCTGCCCCTCGGAGGGACAACGCCAGCGCCCACAAGCCGTGTCTTTATTTTATAGCAGATGCCACGAGGCAAAGTAAGGGCGTGATCACGTTGTTTACAACATTCTCGTGGGTTTCAGTCCCACTCAACTACATGCACCCGAACTCTAGCACACAGGCACCTGGGGCCATGTGTTCGGACCACAGGCTCAAGCTCACAGCTACAGCTGTTGGCTAATTGTGCTGGGAAGGCTCTGCCCTCCAGCTGGGACTTGCACGTAGCAACGAGAGGACCTGTCCTTTCATTAGTCCGAGGTTTGAACCTGGCCTAAACACCTTAACTGCGCCCCACAATTCCCAAACCACGTAAGTCTTGTGACACGAGGGTAATAAAACAAGGGCGTGATTTACTTTTTAGGCAGAGACAAATCTGAGTGGCATTATCACTGCAACATATTTTTTTTTACTATTTTTCTGATCTAGCCAATGTGAGGAGAGGAAAAAAAGAGAGGAATGAACAATTTAAAAAAGAAGTAAAACATTTACTTATAAGGGATAATTATTTGTCTTTTAAAACAAAACTAAATGAAAATACCTAGAATTAATAGTGTCCGGTACGAGCATGGATACAAAGTAAATATAAAGAAGTGAATCGATGCTTATGAACTGACAAATGGCTCTCACAGCGTTGAAAACGAATTCTACATTTCTAGCAATGAGGGCAGCCGCCGCCTGGGAATGGGGAACAGATCAACAAAGCCAAGGCGGGAGTCCAGCCTGGGAGCTTATCCTGTAGGAAAGCAAGCAAGCAGGTCCTGCAGGCGGGAGCCAAGGTGTGTCGCCTCCTGGGGACACTATGTCACCTCTCACCCGGAGACACCGGGCTGGGCCAGACGGCGGCCGGCGGCCGAGGAGGGAGCTCTGGCCCAGAGCCAGGAGGAGGGAAACGCTACTCACAGCTGACTTCAAACTTCCTCAAAGTAGGGGACAGGGCGATGCCCACGCTAAGCACAGAAAACACGCTATCACATACGAGTACCCGGAAATGTGCCAAAGAACACGTAAGGACTGCAGATGGGTTCTTTTCGTCAACCAAGCATCAGGCACAGACCACCTCAGCCCAGCCCCAGGCAGCCTCTTCCCTGGTCCAGGCTTCCTCCATGGTGAGTGCTGTCACCGTTAATACTGCCCTGCCTCACCGTTAATACTGCCCTGCCTCACCCACCAACTCAGCGGCTCATTCCCGTTCGGTAACCAGCTCATTGCAGCCTTCCGTGCCCGAAGGCGTCGGTGGAGACGAATATGAGGATAGAAATGGCCGGGGAGGAAGATGTCTGGGGGCAGAAATAACAACAGAAAAGCTCTCACAAGGGACCGAGAATCGCCGAATCCTCCAAAGTTAACTTGCTCA